ACCTTTTATCTTTATTAGGCAGATATATGGATTCTTAATGGATCACAATGCGAAATTCATGTACCTTTCTAATGCTATTCATTTTTCTCTCATATTATATTGACGTATGTCATTAATCGTGGGAATGAAATGTGGCAAATTAATCTTTTGTATCAAATAGTAGAACGAAGGATTACTTTTTAGTGAGGTTATTGATTATGTAGGAATTCGAATTTCGCTGCCTTAATGGGTTTTTAAAATTCGCTGTATTCCATTCCATGCAATCTGAACAAAGTGAAATTGTATACAATGCACGAAGTCCAAAATTGTACCCTTTTTTTGAGGGGTAAAAATCATTGAATGGCTTCTCCCGCTAGGGTGAGGTGAGAGTCAGTGTCAGACTCTTACAGGCTAAAAACCACTCTGTTTCTATTCCTGCACTTCGAGCCAGAGTCCCGGTAACCTGTTAAGTCATCCGCGGCTCCGTATCGGCATCAGCCCTATTGGACCCCATTTTTGGTGTGATGACTCTTTGAGACGCGCGGGGAACTCGACGCGCCGTACGCTCGGCAGAATTGTATTGTAATGTATGATATTAATCACACATCGACATACCTGGTGAAATATAGGCATTACGCCTTCGACTGCCGACGAAACTGAAAACTGGTGAAGGTAAAACCTCCGCTAAGCGTAACCAGTCACCAGGGACGGACGCAGCGGTTAACGTGTTAAACATATTATACACCTCTCCATATCTCCTTAGGGGTTCGGAGTCGCGGAGAACCTAACGGGTTACCAGGACTCCGGCCCGAAGTGCAGGAGAAGGAACGGGGTGGTTTTTAGTCAGTAAGAGTCTGACACTCGCTCCCGTCTCACCCAGGCGGGAGCAGTCGTACGTGCTGGTAAGAATTTTTTTATTTTTACTTAATAATATCTACCTATTCAATTTTCATCTTAATTGAGTCTGTGAATTATGTCACTATAAAAAATAATTATTTTAAATTCTATTATAAGTCTGAAAATTTGAATAGCTTGATAAATTCCAACGGATTAATTGACACTTTAATATTAATCTTTAAAACAAAAAAAGTGAAAACAAAAGATTATTTTTTAATTTGAAACATAATTTATTTTTCTTTAAATTTTAAATAACTCATCCCATTCTAATTGAATTCTTTTCATCATTGATGGATGGCGTTACTTAAATTGTTTGTTACTGAGTTCCAAATTTAAAAATTAAAAATAAATGGTTAATGTAGGCGAATGGACGAGTCACCTAATTCTTTTTTCGAAATCATACTTAATGTTTTATTATATCTAGTCAAATAAAATAGATGTCCATGTTTTTAAGTAAAATGAGTTTTATGGTTTCAGTTTCAAAGAGGAGAATCAAATAGACACGGCAACAATTTTTGATCACCGCATACCTAGTTCATTATTGATAATCTCATTTAAATGAGCATACATACATACATAACATCACGCCTTCTATCCCCGAGGGGGTAGGCAGAGGTGCACATTACGGAACTTAATGCCACTGTACAATGTAACACCCACTTTTCACTATTTATGTTATGAGTCCCACGTAATCGGGGGTGAACCTATTTAAATGAGCAATTTTTGTATATTATACACATGTACACTATCTTTTTTTTTTCTTTTTTTTTTTAAACACGTTGCCCCACTTTAGGATTTTCTCCTGTGTCGTGGGTGCGTTTACAAACATACAAGTTCACATATATACAATGACACCCAGACCCGAAACAACAATTTGTGGATCACACAAAGTGTTGTTCCGTGCGGGAATCGAACCCACGACACGTTGCACGGCAGCCGGTTGCCCAGCCACCGCACCAACCGTGCAGTCATACTACTACTTCCACGCTGTTTTACCCGTTGTGCTCGGCTCCTATTGGTCATAGTGTGATGTTTTTTAGCCTTTCTCCATAAATGCGCTATCAAACACAAAAATAATTATTCAAATGGAACCTATGGTTCCCGAGATTGGCGCGTGCAAACAAACAAACAAAAAAAAATTCTTCAGCTTTACAACGATTTTCTTAATTTTTTTTACCTAGGGGCTTTTGTGGGCAATAAATCGATCTAGCTAGGTTTCATTTTAAGGAAATGTCGTATACTGAAAAAAATAAAATACTCTGAGCAAAGCTCGGTCATCCAGGTAGGTCTTCTTCCCAGTCGTTCTCTTCATTACTGAAGGTCGTGTGTAGTCTGGTTCACGCGTCACTTGATGCACAACCCTCCTCCGAGCGCCCCTGTCCTCTGTGGTCTTTAAGGCTTGTGGAAGTGTCAGGCCGGCTAGGTTTTTTACAGCATCCAACCACCGGGTAGGTGAGCGACCACGAGCTCTTTTCCCGTTAACTTTAACGTTAACCCGTTTCTTTCCCAGGCAAGGTACTAGACGTTAAATAAAACAAGAATTGTACTAAGAGTGCCACATCCAGTTAACCAAACATCTTTGATTATTTATTTAAGTATGAAAAAAAAATCGTTTCGCCAGTTTTCGTGAGATGGCTGTTCAAATATTTGTGATATTTTACACAGACGATAAAAACGTCATTTAGGCTACATTGTAAGGGGAACGAGGAAATTTCATTCCCTTGCGATTTGGGAGGGAACGACAGTATTGTTAATCAATTGTCAATAGAAAATTGTGAAAGATTTGTCAATAGCATTACATAGAACAAAATTGGATTGCCTGTTTGTAAAATGGAAATAACCGCTTTTTGTAAAACACCTTTTTGCCTCCTTGTGCGTGTTCTACCGCTTGTATAATGGGTTGTGTTCTGCGGAATTGTTAGATATGATGCCCACGGCACGCGGCCACTTTTTATCATCGCACCGCTCGCCATCGACAGGGAGTTCACGCTCACACATTGGAGCCCAAATGGTCCCGTACCTACAGTTCGGTTTCAGAGGAATTTTCTCCCACGGACCCTCCGTTTTTTATGGAATAGTAGGCAAATTGTAATTGTGGAATGAACTCCCGTGCCGTGGTTTTTCCAGTGGGCTACAACATGGGGTTCTTCAAGAGGGGAGTGAATAGGTTTCTTAAACTGTCAAACACCAAGCGGTCACCGGTGATCGCAACCTATTGTTCTATAATTGTGTCTACAAAACCGGTACTCGACGAGTTAAGGGTCTACAAGACGCATATAATACCCCAAGTGTTGCAAGCGTACATAGGCCACGGTAACCGCTTACCATCAGGTGGGCCGTGTACTTTTTTGCCACCGTCGTGGTATAAAAAAAAGCACCGACATCCTCTCAAGACTATGGTATTAAACTGTCAAACACCAAGCGGTCACCGGTGACCGCAACCTATTGTTCTGTAATTGTGTCTATAATGACGGTACTCGACGAGTTAATATCATAATTAACAACTTTTGTTCTATGATTTTTTAAATGTTAAACATTTAGGTACCAAAAACAAATCTTGAGGATTATGTTGTCCTATCTATTTCAACTCTGTATTATGCCGTACCAACATACCTACGCTTGCCGCGCACTGTCCAAGTACCTAATAATTCTTTTGGGTTAATGACTCGTTTCGCTACGATTCCCGTCTTTTTAAGCAAAAGCCAAAGGATACCTAAATTCTGATACATTAAATATGGAAATAACCTATTTTAGGGTACCTCCGCACTAAAGACCATAAAACAAACTACTAATGACTTTTCACAGTTTTCTATAACATTCGTACCATTTCCGTGTACCCACTCGACATTGGAATATCAATAAAACAAAAAATAATAACGTCCGCACTACCGAATAAGGGATCGGACAACTTTTTAAAAACTATTTTAAAATAATCTTTATGGTTATTTATACCCGTAAAAAATATAAATATTTTCGTTACTGCTTTATTATAACGTGTTTAAAAATATGTATTTTAAAATTGCCGCGAAAACATCGCGAAAGAAACACCACCAACTGTCAAAATAGAGTGCGTGACGTCAGACGCGGGTAAATAAACAGTGCAAATCGAGTAAGACGCTTATATTCTGAGGCCATAGTACGAGTTTCATTTATGTTTAAAGTATTCGAAACGAGTACGCGTTCACCAGCACCACTCTGATTGGCCGGCGCTAATGAAACAACCAATCAGAGCGCGTTCGGCGTACTCGTTACCATTACTTTAAACGTAAATGATACTCGTACTAAGGCCTCTGTATTGTTTTTTACATTTGTTACCCACGTATGACGTCACGCACCGTGATTGATGTTTCGGTACAGGGTATAGAACAAATTAAAAATGTTCTATTTGTCAAAGGAGAGGGGGACTTCTGGGCCCAGCAGTTATCTACGTGAAATATGTCTAAAAAAAACCGTTATTTTTTTCTAAACCAAATTACAAAATATGGTACCAGGATTCTGCGGCGGCTTGCGTTTGATTGACAATGACTGACAGATGTACTTGTTTGTTTACTTTCATTCTGAGTGCGCACGTATTTTCCTTGTTTTATTGTTTAAACCCACGACCTCAGTTTTGCATATTATAATGGACTAATCGACGGATCTTGCTACTCTGAATTACCTGACTCTCTATTTTGGACAATTGTTCCACCTATCGATTAGATATCTACGACATGGATCGCTGTATAAATTGTACGATTGCGATTGGTCGCAATAACCCTATGGGAGATAAGTCTTGGAGAATGAGGCGATTTTAACAGTTATTCGTCCGTGGCGAACTGAGTGATTCAAAAGTATTTCAGAAATTACACAAAAAAATCACAATGTTATACTATATATATAACCTAACTTTTATTATAATTCAGATAACTTGGTTTCTAGGAAGCCAAATTTCACCAAATTCTCAGTAAAGCCTTTATATTATATCCTCTTACATATAAGGCCAATTTAATTTAGTTAACACCTGGGCCCAGGAATCTATGGAGCCATTCCCTTCTCCTTTTGATTTTTGATTTTAAAATAATTAAAACTTTATTAATTCTTAAAAAAAACTTGTTGTTGAAAATTCGTACACTTTATATTTTTTCTTTATTGTTGTCCCCTATTTCATAATATAATCATAATAATTCGAAATAAATGAAAATCAAATTCCCTATAATATCCCATTTAATCCAAACTTAAGGTTCTAAAAGTCCCAGCCGTGCCCATGTACTGATCATTGAATTTGTCTCGTTGTCTTTTGGTTTCATCAGTGCGAGCTATGTTCATCTCCTTCATTATTGCTTGGTGACGGTCTGAACTTAATTGCTTGATGAGTTTTTCTGAAAATTAGAAACAACGTGTAAGTTACTTCTTTATTTTATACAAGGTGTTGTTTTAAAACCGTGTCATTTTCTAGGAGGTAACTTGGGTATCGATTCTGAGTCCGAATCAATAAAAAAAATCATAGGTAAATATTTTTTCAGAAATTACGGAAATCCGTAAGTGCGAAGTACACGCCGTCGTCTTGTAACTAGCTTTATAACGCGGCTTAACACACACAAACTCAAACACGTAATCGATATTATTCCTAATTCCATAAAACTAAAATAAGAAACATTGCTGTCGCTTATTCTGAAATACTGTCGAACTTAAACGATTTATTATAGCCGTATTTTTAACTATTGCCCCGAAATTTTCTCTTACATTGAACGTTTATAACTTCTGTGACATGTCCTCGAGAAATGACACGGTTTCAAAACAACATCTTGTATAAATACATTTTGTTATTTGTATTATAACTTTCGTTAGACATACTAAATAAATTATTATGTTTTCGGCTTACTCACACAGTGAGCGCGGTATGTAAAACTGTTTTTGCGTCGATCCGGGATTCAAACCCAACACCAACAGAGCTAACAGTGTCGCGCGCGCCGCCGTCTTCGATACCACGAATAGAGGAAAGTGAGCGTGAATCACGGCAGAGGGCGCGCTGGGCCCGCAGACTCGAGTAGCCAGTAGCAGCGCGACAGTCGCCGCGTCGCGGGTCGCGAAATGCTGCTCATGGATATGAGCCTCCAGCATGGCTTGAAACTAGTCGAGTTCCTCGTCAAATAATTACGTGGGTAAGCCGAAAACATAACATTTTGCTGTCCACCGATATCTATTTATTAGTATCTATACATAATTATGTAGAATAAAATCGTTGGAAAGTCAAAAGTATATACATTGAATATTTTATAAAAAGAATACTTAGGTGTGGTCTCCAATCGATACCGAAGCCACAAATGTGGTTTTTAAAATGAGTTAAGAAATTGAATCATCAAAATATTAATGACACTATTTACTTTCCAAAATGTTGAGTCATGGTCCAAGTCTAGTCGAACACATGTTTAATGTTCGGGAAAATATTCACTCTTCTATCAAAAGAATTGTTCAATTTTTGTCTCTTCTTAACCTTTTAGCTATCTACACTAGAAGTTGAAGCATCATAATTTATTGAAATATGATGATAGTTTCTATTTATTTTCATGGGAAAGAAACTTCAAGCTTAAGTGCTTAAAAAAACTATCTGGCTTTACATCTCCCGTTTCATTTCTCTACACTTCCCTATGGTTGACTGTCAGATAATGTCTTAAGATCGCCACACACTGTAATTTTTTTTGTGAAGATGTTAAAAATATACAAAAACTACTAACCATGTAAAATCGGTAAAGAAGGTGCCTTCCCGCCATATTCTTCTGGAAGTATTTCTTCTGGCAGTAACTCCCTCAACGCTTCCAAAGTCGGAGCCACGTGCAACCTATTAGCTATCTTCTCAGAGAAGAATGGTTTAACCATCTTAATGAAGCCATCAATGAATTTAGAACTGGTTAGGTATATAATCCCTTTTATTTTCGTGCCATAGCCTTCCTGGAAAATAAAAATGTATAATGTCAATAGTAATTTTTGAGATTTCTAATGTAATGTCGTAAATAAGTGTATTTTTTGCACTTGCATTGCATACGCTCTGGCTAAACCCTATGAGATATGTCAAAATAATGTAAGTACATACTATGAATACGAGTCAGCGACTGTACATCACACGCACGCGCGCTTCATGTCAGCAGATTTTAGTTTATTAATTTCATTATAGTTATAGCAATAAATTTGTATTCAGTACATGTTCAGCACTCAAATACATCAGTACTCATCAATCATTAGTTTAGTTGATAATATAGTCGACGTGTTAGTTTAGTGTATCAATAAATATCATCTCACCGGACTATCAAGCGACTTATTTCCACCTAGACTCCAAGTTGTGTGAGAATTATTCAACAACTCATACATACTACAATATTGTACACTTAAAAAAGGTCAACAAATAAATTCGCGATAGCATATTTGATATTTCTATTTTAATGGATAAGGATTAATGTTGTACCAATAGCTAAAACTGTCAAACATTGCGAGGACACCGGTAACCGCAACCTATTGTTCTTTAATTATGTCTATAATGACGGTACTCAAAGGGTTAAAATCGTTACTTAAAATAAGCCATTGTTTACAGTAAAAAGTAAAGGATTGCTTTCCATCCTTTACTTTTTAAATATTTGGTTATTGTGGCTTATTCCTAAGAGATGAGATGTTTTATTTAGTCATATAGTAGGATAGACAGGTGGCAACCAAAAAAAAAAAATGTAAATAAGTACTGAGTCTTTAATTCAATTTGGGTAAAAAAACGAAATACGTATTATATGGCACAGTTGGTGCGGTTGTTGGGCAACTGGGTTGCACGCAACGTGACGCGGGTTCGATTCCCGCAATTAATTTTATTTATTTATTTATTTATACATTTGGAAAACCAACAGCTATACAATTTGATTAAAAAGAATGTGGTATGCAACAAGAAGCCAATTACTGGTTTCCACGATTAGTAACAGAAAGTAGAAACATGCTAACACAGTACTAAAATTACTCATTAAACTCATTAAACCACAGGCAGTCTATAATGATGCACAAATTACTCCAATGATTAAGTACCATATAGGTACCCACTATGAATTAAAGAAATCAAGGTTCAGCTGCCTGCGTGCCACAGTAAGTTTTGTGTTAAATGGGTCGAATGAAAACTCTTTGCACAGTTTATTGAAATCATTGCTCGCTCGCACAATATACGAATTACTCCGATAGTTGGTTGAGGAAGTAGGTATCGATATCGGTACACTGAACCTAAATGACTTACGGGGAACATTAAAATGAAGTCTTTGCAGTATTTTAGGGCAGTCAATGTCATTAGATAGTATTTTTAACATGAATGAAAAATCCGCCAATCTACGCCTGTTTACAAGGGGTTGCAAGTGAAATCTCTTGCAAAGATTTAGATAGTCAGCACTGTGATAGTCAATTTTCAAGCGATAACATAAAGATTTTACAAACCGCTTCTGGATGTTTTCAATTCGATCGATATAATTATGATAATATGGGTTCCATATCTGAGACGCATATTCGAGGCTACTTCTTACAAATGTGCAGTATAAAATCTTGAATGTCTTTGCCTGTTTAAAACACCCAGATATTCTCATGACAAAACCGAGCGCTTTCGAAGCCTTAGCTATTATTTGATCAATATGGATATCGAACCGAAGTCTTGCATCATGATAAACACCAAGATCTCGCACTCCGTCACACCTTTGCAGAACCTGACCCTTCAGCTCGTATGGATGAATCATCGGGAACCGCTTTCTACTAAAAGTAATCACTGAGCATTTTGCGGGATTCAGGTCAAGTTTATTCAACTGGCAATACTCATCCAGGCGCTTTAAGTCATCCTGGAGAGCCAGCATGTCATCCACCGATGTTATTTTGGAGTAAATCTTCATGTCGTCAGCAAAAATAAGAAGATTAGAGCTATGGAAGCAGAGGTCAATGTCATTCACGTATAAGATGAAAAGTAGGGGGCCAATTAGAGATCCCTGCGGAACACCGCTTGGAATCTTGACCCAGCTAGATATGTAGTTATTGACTACGACAGATTGAGACCTGTTTTCTAGATAGGATGCAAACCATCTGAGTAAGTCACCGCATATACCAATACGATATAGCTTAGTTAAGAACTCTTTGTCTGATCCACAAATGGTTGTTGCAGGTCTGAGTGTCATGTGTATGTAAACCTGTATCGTGTAAACGCTCCCACGACACAGGAGAAATCTTATTATGTAGGATAAAGTTAAAAAGAGTGAACTAAGCAAATACTACTAAGTGTGGGAGAGCCATGCTTCGGCACAAATGGGCCGGCTCGACCGGAGTTACCACTGCCTCACAGAAAACTGACGTGAACATCACTTGCGTTGTGTTTCGTCGTGAGAATGAGGTTACCGGAGGCCTAATGATCCCTCCCCCTTCCCAAATCTCTCCAATCCCTAAATCCCCAACAATCCCCAAAAGGCCAGTAACGCTCTGCTAACGCATCTCACTCATCACGCATCATTTTAGGTGTCCACGGGGGCGACGCCGATTGCTTACCATCAGGTGATCTGTCTGCTCGATTACCGGCTTATACCATAAAATAAAATCTAACTTACAGTAAGTATGGGTAGAAACTGTTGCAATTCCACTAAATTAAGTTTGGAGATTAATTCAGATGGATTAACGTCCAGTAGGTCAACTATAAGTTTGTAGCCGCGGCAGTAATCGTTGCACTTCAAATATTCTGCTACCTGTAAAATTAAAAAAAAATGTTAACTAACTCCCACAGAATAAGGTAACTGTGATAGTGAGTGATAACACGGCCTCACAGAAAACCGACGTGAAGCAACGCTTAAGTTGTGTTTCGTCGTATGAGTGAGGTTACCGGATGCCCAATTACCCTACCCTTCCCCAATTTCCCCAATTCCTGAATTCACAACGATTCTCAAACTCCTAATCCCCAAAAGGCCGGTAACGCACTTGTAAATCAAATCAAATGTCTTTATTTGCTGAACAGAGGTGTAGTACATAATTAGTGACTAAGGTGTTATTTATTTTTGTTACATATTGTATCTCTTTGTTCTACCCGTTGGGCATGCAAATGTTGGGTATGTCTCAACCATTGTACGTATTAATGAAATTCACAATCAGTCAATATAAGTATGTAGGTACGAGTCAAAAATATCTTTTCACATTCATAAAGCAATCAAATAATTAGTCATAGAAATTATACATCAATAATCGACAAAAAAAGATACAGAAAATAATAGTATGTAAATTAAATAGTCATAAATTAGTTAAATTCAAATGTCAAAATCAATCAAATTGTAATAACAAATTTGTAAGGTTTTCACAAAAAAACGCCTCTCATGTTCCAGGTGTCCATGAGCGACGACGATTGCTTACCATCAGGTGATCTGTCTGTTCGTTTACCGGCTTATGCCATAAAAAAACTATCCTATTTTTTATGTCCATCTGATAAATTATTTTACAACATTACACATATATTATCTTCTTGTTGACGATACATCGTGTGACGTCACAATTTACCACATTTTATAGGGAGCGGTGGCGTAGTGACTTGTCAGTGTCACTCACTAAGTCACTACGAATATGACAAAATAAAAAAGTACGTATCTTTCGCCGTTTTTAATTACCTAACTGACTAATTAGATTTTTAATTTTCAAATCTATCTACAGCCTTATTATTAAACTTTAAATTATACTATCATCGAAACCAAATAGAGCAATCCACTAATAGGTAGGACTAATATGTCGGAGGATGGTATGGGCGATGTCAAGCGAGAGCCCTCTTCGTCATATATATCGGTAGAGGTATGTTTATGCAGTAATAAAACAATTAAATCTTCGTAAATAAAGTAACGTTTACTTTCGACAGTGCACCTTTACTTGTTCGCATTTTAATTAAGTCGGCATTTCCTACGGACTACTCTGAGAAGAAACGCCGAAACAAACTCAGAGGTCTCAGTCCCTTTCAAAGTTCACAAATGGTCAAAATACATCAAAGTTTAGTCCACTTACATTGTAATAATATTCACAGTTATAATCTCAAACAATATAATGTCAATGACAATTTCACAGAGTCGGCATTTCCTACGGACTATTCTGAGAAGAAACGCCGAAACAAACTCAGAGGTCTCAGTCCCTTTCAAAGTTCACAAATGGTCAAAATACATCAAAGTTTAGTCCACTTACATTGTAATAATATTCACAGTTATAATCTCAAACAATATAATGTCAATGACAATTTCACAGAGTCGGCATTTCCTACGGACTATTCTGAGAAGAAACGCCGAAACAAACTCAGAGGTCTCAGTCCCTTTCAAAGTTCACAAATGGTCAAAATACATCAAAGTTTAGTCCACTTACATTGTAATAATATTCACAGTTATAATCTCAAACAATATAATGTCAATGACAATTTCACAGAGTCGGCATTTCCTACGGACTATTCTGAGAAGAAACGCCGAAACAAACTCAGAGGTCTCAGTCCCTTTCAAAGTTCACAAATGGTCAAAATACATCAAAGTTTAGTCCACTTACATTGTAATAATATTCACAGTTATAATCTCAAACAATATAATGTCAATGACAATTTCACAGAGTCGGCATTTCCTACGGACTATTCTGAGAAGAAACGCCGAAACAAACTCAGAGGTCTCAGTCCCTTTCAAAGTTCACAAATGGTCAAAATACATCAAAGTTTAGTCCACTTACATTGTAATAATATTCACAGTTATAATCTCAAACAATATAATGTCAATGACAATTTCACAGAGTCGGCATTTCCTACGGACTATTCTGAGAAGAAACGCCGAAACAAACTCAGAGGTCTCAGTCCCTTTCAAAGTTCACAAATGGTCAAAATACATCAAAGTTTAGTCCACTTACATTGTAATAATATTCACAGTTATAATCTCAAACAATATAATGTCAATGACAATTTCACAGAGTCGGCATTTCCTACGGACTATTCTGAGAAGAAACGCCGAAACAAACTCAGAGGTCTCAGTCCCTTTCAAAGTTCACAAATGGTCAAAATACATCAAAGTTTAGTCCACTTACATTGTAATAATATTCACAGTTATAATCTCAAACAATATAATGTCAATGACAATTTCACAGAGTCGGCATTTCCTACGGACTATTCTGAGAAGAAACGCCGAAACAAACTCAGAGGTCTCAGTCCCTTTCAAAGTTCACAAATGGTCAAAATACATCAAAGTTTAGTCCACTTACATTGTAATAATATTCACAGTTATAATCTCAAACAATATAATGTCAATGACAATTTCACAGAGTCGGCATTTCCTACGGACTATTCTGAGAAGAAACGCCGAAACAAACTCAGAGGTCTCAGTCCCTTTCAAAGTTCACAAATGGTCAAAATACATCAAAGTTTAGTCCACTTACATTGTAATAATATTCACAGTTATAATCTCAAACAATATAATGTCAATGACAATTTCACAGAGTCGGCATTTCCTACGGACTATTCTGAGAAGAAACGCCGAAACAAACTCAGAGGTCTCAGTCCCTTTCAAAGTTCACAAATGGTCAAAATACATCAAAGTTTAGTCCACTTACATTGTAATAATATTCACAGTTATAATCTCAAACAATATAATGTCAATGACAATTTCACAGAGTCGGCATTTCCTACGGACTATTCTGAGAAGAAACGCCGAAACAAACTCAGAGGTCTCAGTCCCTTTCAAAGTTCACAAATGGTCAAAATACATCAAAGTTTAGTCCACTTACATTGTAATAATATTCACAGTTATAATCTCAAACAATATAATGTCAATGACAATTTCACAGAGTCGGCATTTCCTACGGACTATTCTGAGAAGAAACGCCGAAACAAACTCAGAGGTCTCAGTCCCTTTCAAAGTTCACAAATGGTCAAAATACATCAAAGTTTAGTCCACTTACATTGTAATAATATTCACAGTTATAATCTCAAACAATATAATGTCAATGACAATTTCACAGAGTCGGCATTTCCTACGGACTATTCTGAGAAGAAACGCCGAAACAAACTCAGAGGTCTCAGTCCCTTTCAAAGTTCACAAATGGTCAAAATACATCAAAGTTTAGTCCACTTACATTGTAATAATATTCACAGTTATAATCTCAAACAATATAATGTCAATGACAATTTCACAGCACTGATTCTGATGATTGCAATCATTATTCGGCCGACAGCATTCCCAGTGCGTCGTTGTTCGTTCGGAGTCCCAGCCAAAAGTGCCTGCTGTTCTGCGATGTTGAAAGTCACTCAATCTCCCCCACTCTTAGGCGGACATGACGTCACAATTAACTCTTGAAGCGCGCCATCTTTATTCATTTTGTTGTTATTCCTTCGTTTTGTAGTAAATCGAAATCTCGTACTAATGACCGTTCCGACAAATAATATAAATTAATTGGTAAACCTCATCAAAGGATGACGGGCGAACATGTATGGGAATTGGGATGATGACAGGGTATGAAAATTAAAAATCGAATTAGTCCATCAGTTAGGCAATGAAAAAATATTAGGCACGTATTTTTTTATTTTGTCGTATAATACAATCATACTTAGATAAAACGAATCCAGTTTAGGAGTGGGGGCTAAAACGTCATTTCTACGTATAAAATGTACGTAGAAGACAGAAGTGACGTCACGCGACATTTCAAATCAAAATAATTATCGTCGACAGTATTAGTTCTTAAAATAATCTAAAAATAATAAAGATGAACATTAAAATAAAAATTAGGCATCTACCCTATTGCATCTACCTACTGACCAATAACGACCAGTTGGCTTACTCTTGAATCGAATACTGAGTTTTGTTTTATATCCCGTACTCTAGATGCTATATTAACAGCTGCGATTGTGGTTGTATAGTTTTGACATTGAATAATTATTAAGATTTTATTAGATTGAAATTGCATTGACATTGAGATTGGTTTCAAGAGTAAGCACCTAGACCTATGTCGGTAGAAAGCTCTTTTCATAACTATCATTTGTTATTAAACTGTCAAACACCAAGCGGTCACCGGTGACCGCAACCTATTGTTCTATAATTGTGTCTACAAAACCGGTACTCGACGAGTTAAGGGGGCTAGTCTCAATTCGGTATGGGGAAAATGTTACGTAAATGATTATGTATTAAAGGACACGGAGTAATGTTCTGCCCATCATCCTTTTCAAATAGGCAAATCTTTTATCTTTCATTCGTGGGAAGTGAAACCAAGGAAGACTGTTTCCTTCTTTAAAAATAAAAATACGTTTTAAAATAGAGACCTCTACACAGTCTTATTTTACGGATAAACAATATAATAAACAGGTTTAGATATTTTAATATTAGTTGCACAGAGATATAAGTAAAAAACTTTATTCAATATCTTTTTGCATTAACATATTATAAATCTTTTTGCATTAATCCTTACTAATATTATAAATGGGAAAGTGAGTTTGTTTGTTTGTTTGTTCCACTTTCACGCCGTAACTACTAAACCGATTGCTTTGAAATTTTGCAGACGTAAAGTTAGAAGTCTGGATTAAATAATAGGGTACTTTTTATCCCGGAAAAA